GGGAGTGTAAAATAGATACAACTTTAGGAAAAATATCTGGCAGTTGTTTTTTTTATAAAACCAAACATATACCTACCCTTAATACCCAGCAATTCCAATCCTAGGTATCTACCCATGAGAAATGAAAACATATATCCACAAAAAGCCTTGTATGAGAATGTTTATAGCAGCTTTACTCCTTATACTCCCAAACTGGATATAGCCCAGGTGTCTACCAAAAGGATAACAATTTGATATATTCATTCAATGGCATACTACTCAGTAATAAAAAGACATGAGCTACTGATACAAGCAACAACATGAATGGATCTCAAAAATATTATGTTGTCTAGACAGAAGCCTCTCACAAAAAAAGTACATACTTTATGATTCTATTTGCGAATTGACTGTGGTGGAAAAAATTAAAACGTGATGGTCTCTGGGGCAAGTGAGAACAGAGAGAGTGGGAAGGAGCATGAAGGAACTTTCTGGGGTAATAGTAATTTTTCATGTTAGGGGTTTGAGTTACACAGGTGTGTGCATTTGTTAAAAGTCAGCAAATGTATACCTAAGACTTGCACATTTTATTAAATGTAAGTTTTACATCAAGAGAAAGAAAACTAAACAGGTTTATCTCTGATTTATGATATGCATGCTGAAGTACTAGGGAGAAGAAAAGTATTTGAAATGCCTCATAAATTAGATAGATTAATGGATAGAGAAACACAGGACTGAATAGATCGTGATAAAAGAAGTCAAAGAAAATGTTAATCGTGAAATTTAGGTGGTGAGGATACAAGGAATCACTATAAAATTCCTTCAACTTTGCTGTATATTTGGAAAACTTTTATAACAAAATATTTGGGGACAAACTCAGTGCATATATTATGAAGACTGGTGCATTTTACTGTATTTAAATGTTACATTGAAAGAAAAAATAAATACTGAATTCTGGTTATTAACAGGCGTGCTGAAGAATTTAGGGGTTTCTGCAATTTTCTTTGAAATGTGTCAAAATTAAAATGGATTGAAAAAGGAGTAGAGGGATAGAATGGATTAATAAAAATTTTTAAAAAGAATAGTAAAAGGTCAGTAGAATCTAGGTCACTGTGTTTTTGCTGTAGAATTCTTTTATTTTTGTCATATGTTTGAAATTTTTCAAAATAAATTGTGAGGGTAAAACTCAGTAAGGGCAAAGTTTCTCTATCACTAAATGAAGAAATTAAAAATAGATATTGGAAACAACAGCCTGCCTCAGTGGATAATGTTAACTTGTTGACTGAGGTGGTCCATTCCCTCCCATCCCACCTTCCCAGTGAGTTAAATTCCATCCTTAGAGAGTAATTCTTTTAACTAAACCTTGAGCCTTGTTGAAATTCAAACAGCTTGATTGTTTCTTATTGTCTCCTTTGGCCTTGTTTCCTACATGCCCCCAGGCTTCTATCCCTAAGTGATATATTCAACCCACGACATTCACTACCAAAATGCATCTGGCTTTCAAACCCAGCTCTGACCTCGAAAGTCTTTGAGCTCCGCTTTTACATAGCCAGCTGATTTGCACTTAGGTACTGGAAATTAAACTGCTGCCACCTCAAAGTCAGTATATTCAAAACCCAAACCATCTTCCTTCCTAACCCCATTTTACTTCCTGTCCCTATTTCTGTTATGAGCACTACCATCCTTCCCAGGGCACAGATTCACCGTATTCACTCATTTCTTCAAACAGTTTTAAAGTTTTAACTTTGAAATGCTTCTGCTAGAGGCATTGAACAAAACAGACGCAATCCTTGTTCTTGAGAGGCTTATAGTGTATTACCACCTAGTTGTTCCTTCTCCCCTTTTCCCTTCCCAGTTTTAATGAATAGATGAGTGATGTTCATTTTATCTTGATGGCTTGCAGGCCCACTGCCCTCCCCCAGCATCCCCCCGAGCTGTGCCAAGCTCCGCGGGGCTTAGGCAGTGCTAAAACCTGGGGGGAGGGGAAGGGCACCATCAATTAATTGTCACCTGGGTTACCACTGGGACATCCATCCATCACTCCTATTTGTGGGCCCCTTCAAGCCCAGTGGCTTAATATCCTATGCCCTGTTTAGGGCATTCAAGTCTTTTCTGAGGCAGCCTCTGTTCCCAATTTACCTGGGACAGTCCTGCTTTATGCTTACTGCCCCAGGGTAATGATCAGTAGGGCTTCCTTTCATTATCAAATGGTCCTAGCTGGGTCAATAAATTAGGAGAGGGTGGTTACCTTCTCCTAAACCACACACAGCCATTTCTAATCTGAGCACTTCTTTCTTCCTAACATGAGCCAGCAGGCCAGAAGAGCCCCCATTTCCAGAACCTCTTTCTAATCTGGGGGTTAAGAATCAACACCCCTCCTCTACTCTTCTAAGAGGGATTGTTTGTCCCAGGGCATTTCCTTTTCCTAAGAGTTTGGACTTCTAGGCATAAAAGCCAAAAAGAGTTGCAGCTTCCTTCCAGTTTCCCCAGTCCACCATTACTCTTGCCCTAGGTTGGGGAGAAGGAAAAGAACAGAGGAAAAAGAATGGGTTTATATCAAAATCTTACCCCAGATTTAGAACCCAGTTATTTGTGCATGTGCTTAATCCCCTCTTCTGACTAAAAGCTGTTTAAGAACAAAGATTTGTCTTTTTTTTTTTAACCCATACTCCTTCCTCCCCCTTTATAAGAAATAAGGCCTTGAAAATTTACATACAACAAAAATTAAAAAAATTTTACAGTAAAATTTAGTACCTAGATTCTAGGTACCTAGATTCTACCAACATTTCACTACTCCTGTTTTAATCTATCTACTCTTTTCACCTACCTATCTTGCATGGTAGGCTCTTTAAATGCCTGAAGATATAAATGTTATCAGTCATTTGCACCTTAGTGTGAATGAGTTTCTGTTCTTTTTCCAGCTATAGATCTAGACAAGGGACGAATGTAGCTGGGTATCTAAGAGATATGATCTAGGTGGGAAAATAGACAACTCAGATAGAGTGGCAAAAACTTCATTCCGTGTTCCTCAAAAAGTTAAAAATAGAGCTACCCTACAACCCAGCAACTGCACTACTACATATTTATCCAAAGGATAAAAACATAGCGATCCAAATGGGCACACGCACCCCAATGTTTATAGCAGCAATGTCCACAACAGCCAAACTATGGAAAGAGCCCAGATGTCCACTGACAGATGAATGGATAAAGATGATGAGGTATATATATACAATGGAATATTACTCAGCCATCAAAAAAAATATGAAATCTTACCATTTGCAATGACATGGACAGAACTAGAGAGTATTATGCTAAGTGAAATAAGTCAGTCAGATAAAGACAATTATTGTATGATTCCACTCATATGTGGAATTTACACTCATATGTGGAATTTAAGAAACAGAACAGAGGACCCTAGGGGAAGGAAGGGAAAAATAAAATAAGACGAAATCAGAGAGGGAGACAAACCATAAGAGACTCTAAACTCTAGGAAACAAGCTGAGGGTTGCTGGAGGGTAGGTGGGTGGGGCGATGGGGTAACTGGGTGATGGGCATCAAGGAGAGCACGTGATGTAATGAGCAGTGGGTGTTATATGCAGCTGATGAATCACTGAACTCTACTCTGAAACTAATAATACACTGTATGTTAATTGATTAAAAAACTTCATTCTGCTCACATTTATCCAACTGAATAGGGCCTCACCTCTTCACTTTCTCACAGAATAGAATCCCGCACCAAGATACTAGAATCTAGTTTTCCCCTTGTTGTTCACTCTCCGTCTCTCTGCACCGTGAGCAACGGCGCCTGTGATTCAGAATTCCGCCAGGCAATTGGCCCAACTCCTAATGAACCACAGTGAATGCAAAACAGGAGCAAGACTTTTAGGGTGCCCTACTCTCAGCTGCCTGAAGAGCATAAAGGTGAAAATAAAAGATCCGCCTACCCCAAAAAGCGCTCCCACATCCTGTAATCATTCTTCAAGTCCTGAATCAAATACTTCCTAATCTCTGAAGGCTTTAGATTCTTCTATACAAATCAACTTCCCATTTCAAAATACCTCGTTTCAAACTCTTACTGACAGAACTGATGAAAAACATTAGTTTTAAAGCCAGACACCCCATATTCCAGATTCAAACCCAGATTCACTTATGCCCCCTCGCACAAGCTACTTGATTATCCTATGCCTTCATGTGCTCATCTGTAAAATGAGGCATATGTACACATCCATATGTGCACACTTTACATCAATGATGCATATATACACATAGTAAATATCTCATTGTATTTGCCAGGAGTTACTCTAGGTGGGAGTGACGGAGCAGTGAATAAGACACACGGTTGGTTCTTGCCCGCTTCCAGGTGCATCGCAAAGAATAATCAACATTAAATAAATGATTGTTAACAACCTTGATTTAGCTCAGCCTGCGCTCTGACTGTGCTTTGGGGACGCGTCTAGAATGCCCACATTTGCACCCACCACTCGGGTCATGTAATTCCCCTCCCAAAGCCCGTCTCCCCCCAGGCCTGCGGGCCCCTGAGCACTCACAGTCGCGGCGGGCGGCGTGCTCCTTACCTTCAGGCCTCGCGGCCCTCCCAGGCCCTGGCGACTGTCCTTGTGGACCACAGGAGGGGCGCCGTGCTGGGGCAGGGACACGTGCAGCGCGTGGTCCCTCTCAGGGCGCGGTCAGAGCCGTGCCACGCCCCCCACCCCGCCGGCCTCAGTCTCCCCGCCAGGTGCCGGTCTGGTCCGCAGCCAGCCGCCCAGCGTGGGCTCTCGCCACACCTCTTCCCCTCTCCTCGCCGCCGCCGTTTGCTCTCAGGAATCCCAAAGACGGAAACGCCGCTAATTAAAGTCTCAGACCTAATTTTTCTCTTTGCCTTGCCCTCATTTGCTCCCGTCGGTGCATTTCCGGTCGGTCCCAGGCCTGCGAGGGGGCGCCTCCTGCCCCCCCTCACCGACCCCAGCGGAGAGCAACCCCCCCCCCCCCAGACGGCAGCTCCCGGGCCGGCCGTTCAGGCTCACCTCGAGGGGAAACACTCCTCATGAGTTAACCAGAAGCGTCCACGGGCGGCACCTGCGCGAGGGGCCGGGAGCCGAGAGAGCAAACCCCGTGCGGCCGGCCTTGCTCTTGGCCGTGAGGCTCACGTCTCACCGCGCGCCCCGGGGCGGGTCCGAGCTCTGCACGCGCGCGCAGCCCCCACCCCCGACGGCGGAGGGAGAAAGGGAAGTCGCCCTGGAGACCCTGAGAGGTCGGTTCAGGCCTCTTCCCCTTGCTTCAGAGCGAGGGAGGCCAGTGCAGGCGGAGGCCTCGTCCCTTCCGTTCGGCCACGAGGCCCCTACGTGAGAGAAAGGCTACTCTCCCGGGTGCCTTTGATAACCTTCACCTCGGGGCCTCCGAAGCTGAAAGAGGCCTCTCCGTTTGAAGCTCTGAAAATATTTTTTAAATGAAGACGTGCCAAAAACAGTTACCAAAATATTTCAATTGTGGTTATTTTAACGATCCTTTATGATCTGCTTGTGCTAGTGTGACTACGTGTATGAGCTCATCTGGAGAGAATGCCAAAGGCCGTATGCGAGGCCCTTGATGGACATGAAGCTGGAACAAACGGGCCTTCTGCTCCTCTGCCAGCCCTGATCCTGGCTTCGTGCCTACCAACGCTCAGAAATGGGAGAGGAAGTAGCCTCAGACTGGGGCATGCGGGAGTGCAGGGGTTGGGAATTAAGCCTGTACGGGAGGCAGCGAGGTCAAAGAGAAGTCTACTGGAGAACCAGGTTCACACTTGGTCCCAGTTTGGATACTTCACCTTCCTCAGCCTCATTGCCGATCTGTAAGCTGAAGAATGTTGAAGGAGGCTATACGGAGAACAAAGATAAAAACAGACTTCTAAAGAAGAAAGATGCCATGGACGTGGGAGGCAGGAATGCATTACTAAATGCGCCCTAAAGATGTTTCCTCCCTCCCTCCCTTCCCTCCTTCCTGAGTTGGAATCGAAATGCTTTAACAGGCAGTTGGCAAAGAACATCATTCATCCCAAATAGGTAGTTTTCCCTGTGCTTGCTATTTATCAGAATCTTGGAATTCCATGCCTCATCCACATTTCCATGTAGCTTGTCTTTATGCATAAACATCAAAAAGGATGCAGCTTGTTACATAAAGGTGTTAGACTGCAGAAGCCTAACATGTGTTGTTGATTCATTACAGAGAGCCCCGCACAGCTTAAAGTCAATCAAATTAACTAGGCGGTACAAGTCAAAAATAGTTTTGAAATGTCATTAATAATTATATCTGTAACAAAATCATATTATTTTTAGATTTCTGGGCAATGTATTTCTGAATTCTTGTCATTGCTCGTGCTCCCCACACTTGCTACTAGGAAAGAGAAAAAGCATTCTCTCTCAGTCTGTCCACACCCTCTCCTGCACGTACTGCCCGGTGACTCACGGGCAGAGGAAACCATCATGATTGCATTGTTTAGCTCCCTAAGCTTCAGCTGTGTGAACTGCCTGTCACTTAACCTGCCTGGATGAATGAGCTCATTAACGAGCCGCTGCAGAGGCCTTCTCAATTGGCTACCCTCCCAGACCCTAGTTGTCTTTCTCCATCCTACGGCCTGTCACTGCCACGGTCAACAAGCCTTCCAAGTCTAGCCAAGCAAGTCCTCACACCCCTCTCATTGTGTACCCTTCCCCCTCCTAGAGAACTTAGGGCAGTTGGAAGCAGTCATCCCAAGCATCCTGCTGAAACTGCACTTTTCACAAAGGCCACCCTTTCTCCAGGACACCACCAACCCCCACCCCCCCTCACCCCGCTGGGTTCCTAGGGAAGGAGGATGGACCTAGTCAGCAATTCTGACTCCTTGCTTTGCCAATGGGCTGCTTCCCCCTCTCTGGTCAGCCCATGCTTGGTAGGAAACCCTGAATTCTTTCATTGTTCCCCCTTACTGTGAAACTGGACAGCCCAGATGGGGGGACAGCCCTCTCTGGGATCTAACTGAGAGGGCTCTGTGGAGTGTGGGGGGAGATGGGTGCCTTGGGGTTTTCCCTTTCCTTTAGGACAGGAATTCCCTTGTCCATATGTCTATCCTGTGGTGAGCATCCATCCATCTTGAAGTCTCTAGGGCAGCCATCCTGGGATTTGCTTTCAAGATTTTACAGATTTAATTACTAGGATCCTGGCTTTTTGTGCCTTGGTTTCTCCTTTCTAAGAAAGGTGAAGACATTTGGATTAAATAAAAGCTAAGTTCAGATTTCCTTTTGTGGACCCCAAGAGCATGGTGCACCTCCCCTTTCTCACACACCCAGTCTCAGTACATTGGCCCCATCCGTCTCCTGTTTTTTCCTTCTTGCTGCCTCTCCAACCAAATACCCCCTGCCACCAATGGCTTCTTCGTCTTTTTTCCTTTTTTGCCGCTCTTGGACCCAGTTGTAAACTTGGCATTATTTCCGTCAGCTTCAGACAGGAGCCATTCGTGAAGGAAACCTGGGACAACACTGAAGACCTCAACTTTTTCTGAATCCTCACCTCCACCTGTCTTTCAGTGACCAAGAGCATCCCAGACCACTTCCATTTGCTGAGGTTCCCAGAATACTTAAAAAAAAAAAATTTTTTTTAATTTTTAACAACACGGGGCTTGAACTCACGACCCTGAGATCAAGACCTGAGCTGAGATCAAGAGTCAGATGCTTAACACACTGAGCCACCCAGATGCCCCCAGAATATATTTTTTAAAAAAATTGATAAAGGTAGGGGCATCTGGGTGGCTAAGTCGTTAAGCGTCTGCCTTCGGCTCAGGTCATGATCCCGGGGTGCCGGGATCGAGCCCCACATGGGGCTCCCTGCTCGGCGGGAAGCCTGCTTCTCCCTCTCCCACTCCCCCTGCTTGTGTTCCCTCTCTCGCTGTGTCTCTCTCTGTCAAATAAATAAAACCTTTTTTAAAAAAATTGATAAATGTCAATAAAGTCACAAAAATTGTGGAATATTCTAAATGTTTACATTAAAACAATTGATCCCTGAGATACACTCACAAAACATTATAGTTGGACTGTTTCTGAAAGATATCTAAAGTCTAAATACAGGTGCATTGTGAATTTGGGGGCTCCAGTCAAAACCTTTATCTATTTCCCTTCAAAGAAATGTCTGCCAGTTCTTCTTCTTCTTATCTAGCTTTCAACCAGCTACTGATAAGTCTGAGCAGCAAAGGCAGCATGTTTGATTCCCCTCTGCCCCCAAGCTGTCAGCCCCACCCCCAGTCGCAGGGCAGTCCTAGTCCCCAGTAGTGTGGAAGACTCTTGATTCCTGCCGCTAGGTGTTCACTGATGACCAGATGGTAGCTGTTAATGTCATTCTTTTTAAAGCGTGACTGGCTTTGCAACAGCACACACAAGGGTATTTTTAAACTAAGCTAATTGTTTTTTTAGCTCTCTTTTTGAATCAGTAAAAGTGTTTTAGAATTGGCATCATTTGAAAGAAGAACAGCAGAATGTTGGTAACTATTGGAGCTGGGAGATAGGTCCTCAAGCGATCAGTATGCTGGTCTCTCTACTTCTGTGTGTATTTGAATTTTCTATAATAAAATAGAATAAAAACAAGTAAATATTCTTGAATCTATATTTGCTCTAAATACTAGCATTTAGAATAAAATATTCTGAATTTCCATTTATAAGTTGAGAAAACAACCTCTTACCTCTTCCTTTTTTCTGCTTTTTAACAATTGTCTTGCTTTGTGGCTGTGTGTGGGTTCTTTTTTAGTACAACCTGAGATATAAAACCTAGTTTATTATTAAATTATGACTTTTACATTAGAAATACTGTTTTAAAGCATTTGACTTTATTGAAAAACATTTATTAAGACTTACTGAGGTACAAACTTCCAGTTATAAAATAAGTGAATCGTCAGAATGTAAATGTACAACATGATCACTATAGTTAATAATACTGTGTTGCATATTTGAGGGGCGCCTGGGTGCCTCAGTTGTTAAGCGTCTGCCCTCAGCTCAGATCATGATCGCAGGGTCCTGGGATCCAGCCCTGCACTGGGTTTCCTGCTCAGTGGGGAGCCTGCTTCTTCCTCTCCTGCTCCCCCTGCTTGTATGCTCACAGCTCTCTCTCTCTCTCTGTGTCAAATAAATAAATAAATAAAATCTTAAAAAAAAATACTGTGTTGCATATTTGAAAGTTGCTAAGAGAAGATCTTAGAAGTCCTTATAAGAAAAAATTTTGTAATTATATGGCTATGGATGTTAACTAGACTTATTGTGATCATTTTGCAATACATACAATATTGAATCATTGTCATACCCCTGAAACTAATGTTATATGTCAATTATACCTAAAAAATAAAAGACAAACAAAAAGACTTACTAAATGCCCTACTGAGGATGCAGAAAGGGGTATGTGAGAAGAAAAAAATAAACAGACTTACTGGTAAGCATGGAGTAGAGGTATCTGTGAAGTCCCAAGGAAAGCTCAAAAGAAGCGGCACCCAGTCTGTCAAGGAGCAATAGGAAAGGTTTCTCAGAGAAGCTAGCTTTTAAACTGGAACTTGAAGGATACAAGGAGTTTCACCAGACTGGGCAAGGGGGAGAAGTGCAAGTGCGGTTATTCCAAGAAGGAATTGTGTGAGTTCAGGTGCCAAGGTAAGGGGCCAGCACATTCCAAGTATGGCAAACACCTCTGTGTGAATCTGCAGTGTGTGCTTTCGTGCAGGGGGTGACAGGGGCAGTAGAGAGGACCTGCCAAGATGAAGTTAGATAGGGAGGCAAAGGCCAAATTCTGAGGAACTTCGGAAACTATGCTAAGAAGTCCAAGCTTTAGTAAGTCTAGGATATGGCTCAGGACTCTGCATTTTAACGTACCTTACATAATTTTGATGTAGGTGGTCCAGAGATCTCGATGTGAGAAATACTACTCAGAGGATGCCCGACATGTGCTTCAGAGGCAAATAGACCTGAGTTCTGGTTTTATTCTGCCTTGTGCTGGCTGTGTGATTTGTGGCAGGCTACCCATGTCCAAATCTCAATTTTCTCACCTATAAAATGGGAATAATAAAGATACCTGCCTCCTAAGGTTATTGTAAGGATTAAATGAGCTACTTAGCACAGTGCCTGGAACATTAGAAGGGCTCAAAATATATTTGTTGCTATTGTTATTTTGCTTTAAAAGTTAACCCTGGCAGACCTGTGGTAGACAAATGGAATTTGGAGAAAGTAACAGAAGATGTAGATTTATAAAATGTCAGGCACAGTATTATATGTGAAGTACCAAAGACACATAAAGCTTGAAACTAACCCTCACACATAAAGTGGGCTAATAAGAGTTATTAGGTCCACTAAGTATGGTTGTGCAGGTTGTGCACTGCACCATAACACTACATCTAAAAAGGGACCATTCAGATTTTAGACATCATAGCTTTGCATATTTATTATAATAATTTTTTGGAGATGACAGCCAAGTGTCTTCTTTTAATAAAA